TTTTTTTTTTTAACTTTTTATCATGTTTATTTATTTTGAGAGAGAGAGAGAACATGCCTGCATGCGTGGGGGAGAGGCACAGAGAGAGAGGGAGAAAAAGAATCCCAAGCAGGCTCTGCATGGTCATCACAGAGCCCAACACAGGGCTTGATCTCAAGAACAATCCCACAGAACCATGAGGTCATGACCTGAGCTGAAATCAAGAGTCAGGCGCTTAACAGACAAAGCCACCCAAGCACCTCTCCAATTAGCCCTCTCTTTTCCTCTCCCCTGAGGAAATCATATTAAATCTTACCACCATATTGTTCTTATGAATTCCTTCGCTTTTCCTTAGAATTCTACCCATTCTCTAAGGCCTCCCATTTCCTTGGAAAGTTCCCTATTTCCCTCTGAACAAAGATCCCGCCTTTTCCTGAACTCCTAACTCACAGTTATTATCAGTATCCTCTAATTTAGAATTTAGTATTTCTTAAGTGCTTCTCCTACAAGCGGACCATAAACTCATTGAAGAAGTAACCCTGTCCCCAGCCTAGTGCCAGGAATATCAATACAAACTAAGGAGGAAAATGAAAATAAACCTCTCTTAAAAACATCAGGAACTTCTGGTCAACACAAATTATTACTTGGGTGCTTGCATATTTAATGGAATTGTTCAAAAGTCACCTTAGCAGTGACATAAACAATTTAACAGGATGGTGTTCGTATACTGTATTTCATCAGTTCTAAATTTTTTTTCATTTTTATAGGGATGCAACTTATAATTATGACAGGTCAGTCTGACAGCTTTTTTTTCTTTCTGGTGGAACATAAAATAATGGTGAAGCTAATAAAATATGGAGCCTTAGATGAAATAGTACAAAGAACAACAGCTCTTAACTACATCTGACCGAGATAAATAAAACATACTAAACTAGTACACTCCTCTAATAATAACATTTATTGTACTACATTCTCATGTTAGTTGCTATACCAGGACCTTTATACAAATCACTTGACTTAGGATATAATCATCATTTTCATTGTACAGACCTTAAGAAACAGACCTCCAATCCTTTACTGAATTAGGTAACTTGCCCAAGGTCACATAGCTGGTAATGCTGGAGTCAGGATGCAAACTTTGGTCTGTGACTCCAAAGGCAAACAGTTATCACCAAATAGGATCAGTATCATAACAAAACTCAATCAACCCTACAAAAAGTTCAGGAGAACTTACACTTACTGACTTCCTTACACTTACTGAATTCCTATATTCTTACTAAGGTATTCTACAATAATTTTTACTATCAAAGTAATAATAATAATTCTATCAATTTATTGACACTAAATGTCATTGTCAAATGTCATTGACACTAAATGACAAATTGAGGAAATTTTAACTCAGTGACATCACCTCTTTTAGAGTGACATCACTCTATTATACTCCAAAACCATGGACCTTTTCACTACTTATTCACTAGTCAGTCCCCAGCACCTAAAACATTGCTAGGCACACAGTAAATGGCCAAAAACATTTCCTGGGGCGCCTGGGTGGCTCAGTAAGTGTCCGATTTCATCTCAGGTCATGATCTCACGGGTTCGTGAGTTCGAGCCCCACATCTGGCTCTGCACTGTCAGCACAGAGCCTGCTTGGGATCCTCTGTCTCGCGCGCACTCTCTCTCTCTCTCTCTCTGTCCCTCCCCCACTCATGCACACATACGCTCTCTCCCTCTCAAAAACAGACATTAAAAAAATATATTTCCTGAAAAAATTAATATTTACCTGCCCTTTTGCTATCTTGTACCTTCAAGTTTTTCTGAAACCTTCCAAAATGCTAATAAAATTAGGGCATTTCGAACTCATGGATGTTCTATATTGAAAATGAGGAAAAGCACTCGGAGAATCCTGGTTTGAGCTAACATGTAGATTATTAGGCAAACCAAGAACACTTTCCTTAGACTGTCCTACTACCCATCACCCCAACCTCATCATCTTCCATTCCCTACTGACACCTGCCCTATACTATACCCTGTGCTAATACAAAGCTGCTCATTTCTCCAGAGACATGCATCAAGCCTTTTCTTGCACAGCTGTTCACTTCATCTGGGACGCCCTTCCCCGAGTCCTCATCCAGTCCTTGTCATCTCTTAAGACTCCATGTCTTCCAAGACGTCCTCCTTTCATAGCCAGATGAGCAAGTAACATTAGGCTGAAATAATTTATTTGCACTTCTCTAGTCCTACTGGACCGTAAGCTTCTCCAGGCCAAGTAGCAAGACACAAGTCGCACAGGTTGGGAAAATCTATTAAACCATGCCCCCTCTTCACCACTACCCACCCTCCCCACCCCCAGGTAAGGATTTACCAAATAGCAAAGATGAGAAAAGGATTACTAGAATCCAATGAGAAACTACTATGACAATGCATAAAAATCAAGAGTAAAAGCCACTTTCTGCTTTGTAACACTTGCCTCCACAGTAGAGGACTCGAAGTGGGTAGTCTGCATCTAACTTGGTATTGCCCCTCGGCTCTCCTTTGCAATCGTGCCCACCGGATTCAGAAATATCAGCAGCCATCTCACAAACCTGTAAGCAAGGAAAATAACACATTTTCACTCTTTTGGACCAAGACCCCAGAGAAGCAGTGTTCAAACGTAGTCTCACCTCCTCCTCCCACGAGAAATACCTCAACCCTACATCTGTTTCAGTTCTGTTCCCAAATGAAGGATACAAGCTCCATTAGGATTCATAAAATATGAGCAATTCTGGGTGCACCATTACCAGCTCCACAGGTCTACAGGGAAGCAAGTGACCGAAGCTAGAGAACCGTGAAGGATGGGGGAAAGGGACACGAGTGAAAGAGGAAACAGTGGGACAACAGGATGGGGAGAAGGATCCGTAGTGACGGGGCAAAAGGTCTGGGGGTGCTCTGGAAGGGATGCAAACTGCAGCAATAAAGGCCACAAAGCAGCTGGACGAAAAGAGGCTGGAAGAGCCTACGAAGAAGGGGCGGGTGACTGGAGGTGCCCCCCATACAGGGTGTGGGGGCAGCTAAACGCCAAGGGAGGGACACAGGAATCGGGAAAGGGGTTGGAAGTGGGAGGGGGCGGGGAGACCAGAATCTGAAGAGAGAAAATGGGGGCAGAAGAATCAGGAAGAGGCAGAATGTAAGAGCACTGAGGCGACAAGGACGGCCAGGTGTTAGGAGAAGACGTGAGGCGAAGGAGCAATCCCGGGGACACCAGAGGGGCCCATGTGGGCGGGGGTGTGGAGACGCTCGGCCCGGCCCCCTTCCGCCGGGCAGCACCTCGGCTTCCCCAACGCTCTCTACGAGCTTCTCGGAAGAGGGAGAGGCACGACGGATCGTTACCCAGGCGGTCGCACAACCCCCGCCGCCTCCGCTCCCGCCACTACCGCCAGCTGAAGCGACACATGCAACTCCTCTTCCCCGGCCAGGGCCGCCTGAAAGCCCGTCTGCCAGCCGCGGTCCCGCGAGACAATAAGCCTTTATCGCGAGATTCAGGCCGCCGCTGGGCGGCTGTCGCGAGACGCCTGGAGGCGGAGGCGGAGAGGAATTGGAGAGCATGCGCGTTTTGCTCGGGGGCGGGGCCAGGCCTCCAAGCGGCTGACAGCCAGTAGGCGGTGCTCGCTACCCGCGGGAGAGAACTGGAGGTGGGCGGTCCGCGAGCGGAAGCGAACGCTGATGGGCTGATGGGAAAGCGGGGACGTGCGCCTAAGTCATCAGTGACTCCTTGTTAATGAGCTGGGGAATGTTATCCCCCGTCTGGGGTGCATCCTGGAGTCCTGACTAACCCCCCCCCAGCCTGTTGGATAAGTCACTCCTCCGCGGGGAAATGGCAGCTGGAAAAGGCATTTCGTTTCAACACCTTTCCCTACATTGGCTGAATTATTCTTGAAAAGATAGTTATCAACATTATTTAGATCGTTCTCATCGCCCATAATCTCACCATCCTAACAACGATTTTCATCACCTTCCTCGTGTTTACCTATCCTTATATGTGCTGCAAGTTGGAATTAATCTCTCCCCTCTCAGGCTCTCTCCCAAGCAGCCGGAAACCTGGTAGACATAACCACACATGGGGCGTGTTTGCTTTGCTTCCATACAGTTGTCTCATTTGGGAAAATCCCTAACCGTACTCCACCTGAATCCCGTTTGTGAAATGGGAGTAATAATACTACGGTGCTTGTAGAGTCATGAGGGTTAGGAAAACGATGACCAAAAAGTGCTTTGTAGCTGGTGGAGGTTGCTCTTTTGTATTTTGTTCTGCCCTGTGCCTCATTCCCCTCCTTCCCGGCCAACTTCATTTGCCACCACCACCCTTAAATTTTCTGCTTACAATTTACTTTGTGCACAAAGCCATCTGGCGTAATCTTTTCCACCAGGCTGTGGTCTCCACTCTGACATCATTTTCTAAATAAGAGGCCCCAATAGCATTCGATTCCCATAATAACTTCCATTTACTGACACCCACCTTCTACTATGTGCCAACAACCTGCTCATTTGGGGATACAGAGTCCAGGTGGATTCATTTCACAAAATTTTCTTGATGTGAAGAACAAATGCGAAAGGAAATATAGATAAAATTAAATTTCCTTATAACCTGCAGCCCATTGGCAAATATAATATTTGACAAGAATAATTGTATAAGTATCGACAAGTATAATAAGGACGAGCAATTGAACTCCCTACTGTCTTAATGTTAATACTTTGCTAGAGGCTAAAACCACCTTAGCTTGACAATAGATGGCCTCCAGGATCCTGGGAGTCTTCTTTAGCATATGAAAGTCCCTTTGGAAACTTCCCTTTGTCTTTATCCCACCCCCACCCCCCAACTTCAAAGTATGTCATCAGTCACGCCTCACAGCCCCAGTGCAGCTCTTTCTGCCCATGGTGCTGTCCCTGTGCTTTAATAAAACCACTCTTTTGCACCGAAGATGTCACAAGAATTCTTAGCCGTGGGCTCTGAACCCCACCATTTCAAACCACCTCTCTGTTATGCACCAAGTACTGTGCTAGGAAGTGGGGGTACAGTGAACAAGGGACAAAGTCCCTACTCTTGTTAAATTTAGCAGTCTTAACAGTGTTAGCTGACTTAATCCTTACAAAAACCCTGTGAGGTAGGTATTACCTTTAATTTCCAGATGGTAAAATCAAAGCTCAAGCGTGGAAATAAATTCAGTTCACATGTGTTTAAGATCACACAGCTGGGGCGCCTGGGTGGCTCAGTCGGTTAAGCGTCCGACTTCGGCTCAGGTCACGATCTCGCGGTCCGGGAGTTCGAGCCCCGCGTCGGGCTCTGTGCTGACAGCTCAGAGCCTGGAGCCTGCTTCAGATTCTGTGTCTCCCTCTCTCTGACCCTCCCCTATTCATGCTCTGTCTCTCCCTGTCTCAAAAATAAATAAACGTTAAAAAAATTTTAAAAAAAAGATAAGATCACACAGCTAATGCAATCTTTCATTGATCTTAAGATGCACATTTTTTCACATTTTAATATCTCGTATTGATGAGGGAGCCAAAGGCAAACTGAGGACAAAGCACAAGCTAACACCTACCCCCAACCCCAGGTGGGACATGTGTGACATTCCTCAGGCACTCCTGGCTGCCCAAGAACAAAGGAAAGGGAAAAACAAATAACTGACAGAGATCACAGTCATTCAGGACATGAGTCGCCATCAGTTTACAAATGTCTTAGTAAATTACAGGAAAAGACAATCTTTTTAAAAAATGTTTTACATTTATTTTTGAGAGAGAGAGAGAGAGAGAGATTGAGAGCTCGCACAAGTGGGGGAGGGGCAGAGAGAGAAAGAGACAATCCGAAGCAGGCTTCAGGCTCTGAGCTGTCAGCACAGAGCCCAACGAGGGGCTCGAACTCGCAAACTGTGAGTTCGCGACCTGAAGTGAACTTGGACGTTTAACCCACCGAGCCACCCAGGCGCCCCAGCAATCTTTTTTTGTTAATGTTTGTTTGTTTGTTTGTTTGTTTGTTTGTTTATAGCGGGGGGTAGGGGCAGAGAGAGAGAGAGAAATCCCAAAGAGACTCTGCACTGCCAGCACAGAGCCCAACACTGGGCTCAATCCCTCAAACCCTGTTATCATGACCTCAGCCAAAACCAAGAGGCCATCTATCACTGACACAGCTCCGGTCAATGAGATACAGCAGCTGGTAAGGGGGGGCATCCCTTCTGTCAGGAAACTCTGTGAAAGATTTCTAAATGGACCGAAATATCGCATTCTCTTTGGTGTCATCACCATCTTTCACAATCTTTGAGCTATTTTACAAATTTGTAAGTTGTAGAAAACTGATAGAAATACAGTTGGCTCTTGTCCATAGAAATGCAAATGAGTCGTGTCTGGCGGAGCTGCAGGGGATTATTTCTCTGTTGGCTAGTTTTCCATCTATTTGTAAAGTCACTGCTTCATTCCTGATTGCTGACGTGGGAATATTTTCAAGAATTCTCCTTTGAATTGGTTTTAACATCTTATACTGATTTCCTTATTGGTTAACAAGTGAAATAAAATATTTGGCACATGTTTATTTTATGATTAAATGAGAGTCATGCTTTTATTCTTTTAGAAATTCATCATTTAATGCTTCTCAAGTAAAAAAGCAAGACCTCATGTTTAAAGAAAGAAAACAAAGCCTTGACCTTCCTCTCTTCATTCAGACCATGAGAACATGAAACATGAGCCATCCATGAGGGTCTAGCTTGAGAACGAAGGTACTGTATCAAGAATTTGGGACTGGAAATAGATAAAAAGCCTATGTTCCAGATAGCATTGTTGAGTCATGGTATCAGTCCTTGACTGCCTCCCTTCTGGGGCTTTCTATTGTGAAAACTCCCTGCTCCCCACCCCCCCATCTGTTTAAACCAAAGCAGTAGGGTTTTCTATTATATTGCAGAATGCATTCCTAAATTATACTATCAGAAACCCAGAAAATAAAGAAGGGAAAGAAGGGAAGGAATGAAGAAAGAAAGAAAGAAAGAAAGAAAGAAAGAAA